CTTGATGCAACTGCATTATTACCAGTGATGGTATTTTTAATTCCAGGAGTTGAGGAAGAGATAAACCTTGGCTGATGACCACAAGAGATAAAGAAAGGAAAGCTTAGTAATTTGGTGATGACAGCCCTTCCATGGGCGCTTCCCCAAAATGGCACAGCAAACACAAAACCTTGCTCTTCCACCAACCTTGGTTGGAGGCAGTAACTGTGTAGTATCTTACATGAGCCATGTACTGACCACAAGAGCCACAGAATGCTGATGGTGCAGAGGAGTGATTATCTCTGCACCATGATGTCAAACGTTAAGAATTAGAGCACTCACTTTGAAGAATACAACTGCAGTGATAATTACACATTTTGATTTTTTCTTCAATTTCAGCAATTTTTTTCTTTTGTGGTGCCCATCCATTTGAGCCTTAGAGGTGGCCAGGTATTGAGTTTTAGCTAACACTGGACAACTCAGCACTTACCTAAAATGTGCAGTTGGTTGGCCTCTAATTAAATATTATCCTAATATTCTGATAATATTTTAGTGACCATACAGGACACTGTTTGCTCAGTGTTTGGGTTACTGAGAAGCACGTGATCAAGTGTGTTTTCATCTCTGTCAATTGCCGGGGCCTTAGAGTAGGCAATAAGGAATTCTTTTATGGCTTAATCTTACTCTCCTACTTTTATTTTCTTTTTGCTCTTATTTCCTCATCTACTAACATCGAATATTGTGAAGGTACTTTTTGTGAAAGTTGTAACAATGTGCCATTAAGAAATACTTCTCCCCACTCCTGCACACGCCTCCAAGGTGACCACTGGCATTCCTACTGACCATTTCTTCTGGAGCTTACCTACTTGGTGTATCATAGTGTATCAGTTTTAGACATTTCTGATTGATTTCCTGTTCTTGTAGGTGAGGGTTTTGCTCCCTCACACTTCCTTCCCCTCCCTGCATCTTCTCAGTAGAGTTATTTTCCAGTTTCTGGTTGAGTTGATACTTAGTGTTCATGTTATTTTGACTACATTAATATTATTCACTGTGGAGCCAAATGTGTTGTGTTCCTGGAATTGGTAGTATATTCTTCCCCACTCCCTCCCCGAGCTGATAAGGGTTTTTTTTTTTTTTTGTGGGCCTATCATCAATTTTCCAAAATGCTCCAATTTGATCTGTCGATTATTGCCTAGCAATAAATTTTCAGAATGCTCAAACCCCACAAGTTCTATGTTCTTTCTCAAGACTGGTATGGATTGCTCACTCCAAGGGTCCTGAAGTTCCTTTTGTTGCTCTCCTATGTTGAACCCTGTTTCCAGGATCCTGGGACCCCCTCTTTCTTGCTTACTCCCTCATTTTGCCAAAGCATATGTGTTGTCTCTTCTTGAGAAAGGGTAAACTGGAGGCAAATGTCAAAGTCCTTACATGTCTCAAAGTATCCGTTCTCTCCCTTCATACTTAATCTTTACTTGGGCTCCAAATAGATTTCCAGATTGAACACAACATTGTCTCAAAACTGCTCAGTCACTGCCCCACCATCTTTCATCACACAGCATTGTTGAGGGTCTGACTCTAGGTCCATTTCAGTTCCTTTTTATTGCCCATTTGTTTCTCCTTGAAAGCGCTCAATGGACTTGTCTACCCCTGCTGTTCTAGAAGTTGGTAAGGGTGTGCTTCACAGAGAGTCCATGTCCATTTATTGAGCTGGGCACCTGGTGCCCCCTCATTCAAGAGAGTGCCGTACTTCCATTCTGGGAACTTCTCCTGGCTCACTACTACCAAGATGACAAGATAATACACTTTCCAGCATTTTTTTTCCCTATTCTATCCCAAACTCCTTTGGTCAAATTTTGGACACCATCCTACATGCCGCCCCCCCCTTCTTTCCTATGACCAACCTCTGATTTTTCCCTTTTCTCTCCCATGGCACAGTGGCTACTTGTGTGGTCTCTAAAGCCAGGTCTTGGTTCTGGTTATTACTATTGACTGTTCAAGGTTCATTTTTCTACGCAGCTTTATCTTCAAGCCTTTTGTTAACTTTTCTTATACAATTTCTGATATCATAGTTTTAATTTCCAAGAATGTTTTCTCATTTTTTTTAAGATTTATTTATTATTTACCTGAGAGTGAGAGAAGCATGAACACGTGCAGAGGGGGAAGGGGCAGAGGGAGAGGGAGAGAATCCCGAGCAGACTCCACGCTGAGTGCAGAGCCCAGGCCCAAGAGGGGCTCCATCTCATGACCCCAAGATCATGACCTGAGCTGAAACCAAGAGGCGGAGGCTTAACCGACTGAGCCACCCATGCGCCCCATGTTTTCCAATTTCTACTTACCTGCCTACCTATTTCTCTCTCTCTCCCCCTCTTTTCTCTTTGCTTCAAAATTCATGTCCCTCTTTTGTTTCTCTGAGAAAGTATACTCTGTGGTTTTGTTTTTGTTTTTGTTTTTATGCCCTCATATTTCTCTCTCCTCTGGGTTCCTTTTCTCCCAAATGTTATTCTAGTCACTATCTCCCATGTAGGCAGTTGTCCTCAAATGTCTGGCAATGCTTGGTGTTCCATTTGTATTTAAGATGATGCACGACCGTGGATTGGAAGCACTGAGTGGGTGGGGCTTGTCCCCAGCTGGTCTTTACCATGGGTGATAGGGAGCTGATCTTTATGTTGGGGGACCCTTTGAGTATCAGTACTTGTAGGTGTCTTTCTCTGGGGTCATTTGTTTCTGCAGAGAACAGTCCTCTAATCTCCTCATTGAGGGACTGTTGTTTGACTGCAGAGTTTTTGAAGGTAGGGCTGAAGAAGGGGGCTGGCAGTCTCAATATTTGGCACAAGGTCCATTTGGGAAAGGCGGGGGCTGAGTGGCAATATTGTAAAGCTCTTCCTCCAAGATATGTGGTTTCAAGAGGCCCTGGTTTTATGAAATAACTCACTTCTGAGAATTTGGAGAGGCCATATTCTCTACTAAAGCCACTCAAGATTGGTCTGCCTTTTTTTTTTTTTTTTTCCAGAACTGAAAATTTCTTGAGTAAAACATGATTTAATTTCTGGGGTTCCCATGATAAATGAACCCTTCAGTCCTAATTACCACCCTTTTCAGACAGCTTTTATGTTGGCAAGACCTATTGTTTCTGGCAGATAGAACATACAGGCTTTGTATGCTCTCTACCTCAAGGTCAAAGGTTGTATTTCAATTATAGCCCCTCCCACTACCATTCTGATGACACTCCGTCTCTAATCTTGTATTCTGTGCTCTAGAGAGAACCAGAGTGAGGTAGATTGGCCAGAACCCACATGGTGGAGGTGATATGTTCTAGTCTTCCTCTAGGTTATTCCAAGGGATCCCTGACCTTTCACACTCACCTAGCATGGACCAGTATTTGGTCTAAGTCTGTATTAGTCCAATCAGTAAACTCTTAGAACCCTAGACATTGAGTTCAGTACTTCTGATGAGTGTACACATCCATAAATTCAGCCCAATCCAAAATTCCGCTCTGCCCGCTTTTATTAAGCACTCTCAAAATCCAAACCCAGAGTTTTTATAATTAAACAAACAATTTCTGTAATTTCTTCTGGAATTTTCTTCCCTACTCTGATTCTGCATTTTATTTTCTGGCCTATGTGAAATTAAAATCCTACAGTGCACAACCATGAGGAGTGGGCCATGGGGCAAACTGTTAACTTTATCGTGTTAAGGAAAAATGGTTTCCTGAGGGGACACAGGTGTAGAAGGCAGTGTGCTAGAGGGCAGTGGAGGATCAGGGTTTCCCAGGTCCTCTGCATCCTTCCAGATATCCCCATTCCCACAGGTTCTCTGTCTGTCTCAATTCATACTCTAATAGTCACACATGCCTTTTGGCAAATGTGTGTATTCAACTCATAATTCAGACACCTTTCAATTTAGGCTCTGAACTGGTTTCCAACATTCTTAACCTGGCAGCTGCAAGTAATAAAGAGTTTCTTTCCAACACGGTCACAGAAAAGCTCTAAGTTTTACTCGAACTTGAAGATAAAAAATTTCAGTATTTGGGTCCCCCCCCTTATTTAAGGGGCTCGGTGCCTTCAGAAACACCCAAGAAACAACCAGAACTTTCTGGTTCTGCCAGGCTTCATCCTCTTTGGACTGGTGAATAACGGCATCTTCCTGCCCCCCATCATCCACTGCTGGCCGGGCTCTATCATTAGTGGACGACTAATTGTTTCATTACCAGATCACATGGGCTGCCATCTTCCCACTCTGGGACATGGGTGTGAACCTCACCTCCATGAAAGTCTGTGTCTGCAACCTGCTCCCTGGCATTCACTTCCATTTCCGTTAATTTTCTTGATTTATAACCAGTCCCAGCTTCAGCTAAGAATGACTGCATGGGTGTGGCCTGGAGAGCTCCCAGAACGGAGGAAGGAAGGGAAGGAAGGGCCACCTGGCCTCAGGAGATCACGCAGCCTCTCTCTGGGCCACAGCCATGATAGGATCAATGCCTTCTGCCCATCTCTGCGTGTCTTCATTTGAGTTTTCGAAATCCAAGTGGCCTCACTTACGTCAGGCTAGGGTCAAAAGCCCTTGAATCAAGCAAGTCAAGAGGACCTGAGAGGGGCCTGGTGACGGTCGTCATGAGCCAGGCAAACCTCCCAGGTTGTGTCTGGAGCAGCGTTGCTGCTGACAGGGCACATTCAAACCTGTGGCTTTAAGATTCTTAATTCAGGCCTCACAGTGTCCTTGCTTCCAGACCTCTCACTCCTAATCTTCCCAATTTCTCCATTCCACAACCACTGTTAGTCTCTGCTCCCGGAACATTCCCCCTCATCCCAAGGCTGCCTTGTTTAGCCCCTTCCCCCAGCTCTCCTCAGGGTGTAGCTTCCTGCCTTTAAGATCCAGCCTCCTGCCTCCTTCTCCAGGAAGTCCTCCCAGAATGCTTAGTTGACACCCTATTTTTTCTCTTTTTGTCAGCTTCTTTTCCTGTGCTATATATCGTCTCCTCGTGTCACTCAGGGTCCCTATGGGAAACAGTCGACACACTCAAATTGGGCAATTTGAGGAGAGTTTAATAAAGAGGCCATTTACAAAGGTGATAGCAGGGTAAGAGGAGACTGCATCCCCCCTGAGTAAGATGAGTAGCAGTGGGGCTCGTTAGCAGATGTAAAGGGGTCAGGGGTGAGGGACACAATATGGAGAGGTCCACCGAGGCTGGTTGGGGTGCACCCGGCCCCCAGTGCTGCCTCAGGAGGGGCTGGGTTCAGACCTCGCTCTCCCCCTCTCTTCCAACCTCCTGCAGGGGCTCTCTATGGGCTCAATCCGGAGAGCAAGCTAGAATGCTGGCCACCTCCATTCAGGGCAGCTTCTTGGGCGCAGGGCAGAGAGTGGAGAAGGGCGCAGGGTGGATCCGAGCACATTGGCCAGGATGTCCTAAACACACTTTGACTAGGTAACGCGTCATCTTCTTGTGGCCGGCAACCAAGGCTTTGTTTTTTCTTCCCTTTCACTGCCCCTGCCACCCCCACACTCCATAAAGGCTAGGACCATGTAGATGTTCAGTAAATGTGACCAGCCAGGGTTTGACAGATGAACAGCCTCCAGACTGAACAACATAGGATGCGCTCCGTCCATTCTCCCTCGTCCTGGGCCAGAGGAGTTGCCGTTCTGATCGTCAGATTTCCGAACACAGACAGGGCCGCACCCACTAGCAGCCGGGGCCTCTGGGTATTAAGAGACCCCACGCATGCACTAGCAACTGTCTGTTTTCACCCCGCAAGCAGCTGTATGTTGAATCGGGGTGTTTCTCACAGGGGCAGGTTCTGCTCTTCTGCTTTTCTCTGTTCTCTTCTATTCACACGCATTTTTTGGCATACGCATTGCTTTGGGCTCGGGCTTGGGCATGGCCCTCTGGAATAAGATTTGAATTTTGGTTTAGGAAGAGGTAATGGAATTTCATAAGCCTTGAACTATAACCAGTTTACCAACATCCTACATCAAGGAACTGGGAATTAGCCCAGATCCTAATAAATCGGACCCGGGTTTCCTTCCTTCTGTTCCTCCTTCTGGGGCACTCACAGCATTGCACAATTCCTAGGGACATAAATGGCATCCCCTAAAGTTTTGCCACACAGTTGGACCACGTCAGATATAGGCATTCTTGAGTTTCTTGCTGCCATATCAAGACCTCACCTCCCGCCTAGCACAGGGGCATATTCTCCCCTTACTGAACGACCACCGGGCGCTCTCTGCGCCTCCGGCATGGGCGGACGCCCCCTAGTGTCCACATTTCCCACTGCAACTGTGACCGAAGCTGGTGTTAGCGAGTAAAGCACGAGCTTCAGCTTATCGGGGTGAATTTGCCAGCACCTCAAACTAAACCAGGAAAAATTTTGTCCTCTCTGAAAACTGAGAGGCTTTCCTCAGTTCCAAAAGTCTAGAATGCAAGAGGCAGCCATTCTTTGGATGGCATGGGGCAGCGGCCGTCTTAGTACATAGTGTTAGCCTTTTGCATTGGAGACCAGCATTTGGCTGCTAGACCCCCTAACCCTATGTTGTGTATTTTGAACTGCTTCCAGGGTCAAGGTAAGACTAGCCTGGGCACTTATGCAGCTTGTCTACAGCCCTCACATCCCAAGTTCTCCTCTACAATCTAGTCTCCCTTGTTGTAGCATTGCCTGTCAGAGCCCCAGATCCTGTGCAGTGGCATGGATGATAAGGGGTCAGGAAATTTCTTCTGTAAAGGACAAGAAGATAAATATTTTAGGATCTGGAGGCAGTACAGTCTCTGCAAAAGCAGCCACAGACGATTTATAAACATAAGAGCGTGGCTGTGTTCCAGCGAAACTTTATTTACAGAGCGGGCAGTGGGCCGTTTTTGGCTTGTGCGTCACAATTCACGGACCCCTGGAAGAGATCAGTGGATGGAGAAAGATGACCCTGACTATGCTGGGGACTTAACCTGGGCAGAAATGGAAGAAAATCCCAGTGAAGTTCTTGCAAGCCCACAGCTCTGAAGGACAGGAACCTACTTTGTTAAGCATTGGACTTTAGAATTTTAGCTCTGGAATTTGAAGGAAATCTCAGAAACTCAAGCTGGAAAAGGATCATCTTCTTTAAACTAGCAGAGTGTGACGCTCAACACATAGGACGAGGAGGAGCAGGGAAGTCAGCACTGAGTCGTGTTCAAGACCACCTGCCATTGTCAAGGTCACTCCAGACTTGCCACAGAAAGTTCTCCCTGCTGCACCTCTGTGCCTTTGTGCCTTCCCACAAATTGACCCACCTGCCTGGACACCCCTCTCACGCCCACCCGTGGCTTCATGGAAAAGTTGTTCACAAACCTGTTCAAATATGCAGCCAATGTGTTCTCCCTCAAGCCTTCACTGAGTGTGCCCAGCTGGCTTCCGACATCCAGTATCCATGTTGCGACGCCCGGGAGCTTTTCCGCAAAGCTGGACGGGCCTCTCTGCCAGAGCCAGTCATGCCAGAAGTGCCCGGAGAATTAACATCCCCCAGGAGCCACCATCAGCCAATGACTCACAGGGGCACAATGCAAATATCCCAGCCTCCTTCCCCCTCCAGTGGGATTGCTGAGTGTGATTACACTGTCGCCAGGAGTTTTCTAGTGGTGTTGAGCTCCGGTCACCCCCAGTGGAAGGTACTTCATAATGAACCCTTTGCTGGCATCTTCCCGTTCCTGTCTGACTTCCCTGTTCCCTACTGGAGTTGCCTGCACTTTCCAAATTAAATTCTTGGCTCTCAAATCCTTGCTCAGGATCTGCTCTTGGGGGAAGCCAATCTAAGCAGAATGTGACTTTCTCTGGGTACTTTTCTTCAATTCTCCCTCTGTTTCCTACTGCAGGAGAAAGCACCCATCGTGTTTCATTATTGTCATTGGCTTCCGGTTGAGTCTCTTCCACTGAACAGCGAGTGAGTTTTCTAGAAGTGGGTCTTATTCATCTTTGCATCACTGGTATGTTCCCTAGTCTGTCATGCAGTGTTCAAGATGTGTGTTTGCTGGCTACCAGAAGCTTGATGTGTAGGTGGAATAGATGCAAAGGGGCAAGGTGGCGGGGGTCCGTGCTTCATTGCTGACCCCATGTAGCTGCTACTAGCCATGTGTGGCTATTTCAATTAAAATTGAATACAAATTAAAAATCCAGTTCCTCAGTCCAGTAGCCACATTTCAAGGGCTGCATGTGGCTAGCGGGGATCCTATTGGACAATACAGGTAGAGAACATTTCTATCCCTGTAGTTAGTTCTATTGGACAGCGTGGGGCTGGAAGGCCAAACGAGCACACTGAATCCATGATTTGGTTATGTGCGGTTCTGTGTGGGTCACAAAGCTCCTAAAAGCTTTCAGGCACCTGGGTATATGACCCAGTACCAATATCCAGCACTTGTGCTCACCTAAGGACAGACACTGCTTCACGAGACAAGAGAAAACCAGTATGTATAGCTAAGTCTTCAGATGATTGCTTTATTTACATTTTGACTGAACCACAAAAAAGACAAAAGGTACTTCAGGGTTTCCAATGCCCTTAGGGCTGGTAGAATGGATACCACATCAGAAGAGCAGCCTAGCTTCTTTTTTAAAATATATAATTCTAAAGTTTTGTTTATGTTTTTAATTGGTAACATGTTCCCATAGCTCAAAAGCCAAAAGGCACAAAGGTATTCAGAGAAAAGTCACACTTGTCCTACCCCCCACCCTTAACCCTCTCTAAAGATAACCAAACGCTACTGTTTTCTTTCCTAACCTTTAAGGGATGGGCAATGCACCCAAGCACAGTGAATAATCTGTGTTTATCTCTTTTTTATTTATTTTTTTAGCATAGGATACATCCTGTTTTGTCTTTTTTTTTTTTTTTTCAGTCAATTCCCTATCGTTCCCTGGACTTTGACTCTTCCTTCAACGCTGTCTCTTGGTTCTTCCAGCACCTCTTTTATTAGCCATTGATCTCTCCTTGTCTCACACGTGCCTTTCTCTTTTAACTAACTCCCCGTATGGTTCTGGGGTCTCTACTCCATCCTGTGTTACCGGATTTATCTTCCTAATGCACCATGGTGATTATTGCCACTTCCTCCATGAAGTCTTCCTCCTTCAGATTCCAGCTACAAATGGTCTCTCCCTTCCTGGCCCAGGCGGAGCACTGAGTATGTTTCTCTTTGTTCTGGAGTTACCTGTTTCTGTCTCACACCCCCTACCAGATGGGAGGTTTTACAGGGCAAGGATGATGTTTATCTTACACACTTTGTGCATCCTTCACTTAACTTAAATCAATGCTGGCGCGTCCTGTCTGTATCATCTAATGCACAGCTGTTGGGTGAAGGCTGAGCCCGGTATTTGAGAGGACAGTGTTTGCACATTTCAGGGCTCCAAAAAGTTTCTGCAAGCAAGGCCTTTATTCCCTCTACTGAAAATACCAAATTACTCTTCTTCTATTGAGTTGCTCATACGAAATCTGATCATTTGGTGTAAACAGGAAATCCATTCACTAATAAGCATACTTGGCGGGGTGGGGGGGGGCACCTGGCTGGCTCAGTAGGTGGAGCATGCAACTCTTGATCTCCGGGTTGTGAGTTCAGGCCCCACGTTGGGTGTGGAGATTACTTAAAAATAAAATCCTTAAAAAAAAAAAAAGAAAAGAATTCTCGGAACAAGGGTGACATGCCATTATGCTGCTTGGGAGTACATAATACACTGGGGGAAAAAAGCGCCTTTTCATCAAGCAAGGAGAGAGCTAGGCACGTTAAAAGCATTGTGATTGATATATTGTATTTTGTGAAATATGTTTCATTTATGCAATAGCTGGCTGACGTTAAGGTTTAAATTTAAAAGGATTTACCTGTTAGTAGCTGCGTGTAGTAACTATCTAACATTCGGGGACATTACAATGTATGTAACTCTTCAGAGAACCAAGCAAAGCTCTGTCTTTCGAGGTCGACAGTAAGTGAACTAACTGACTGGCCAGCGACCCCTGGTAATGCCTGCGCCACCCACATATACTGACACCATTGTGTATATATTTTAATGTCTTTAAGAGTTTCAGCATTGAGCCAGAAGTTTAAAGGGCCGGCGTTGAGGACAATGTGATTGACGTAATGCGTTTGCTTCATGGGTCCAGCACGTCGGTCTTAAAATACAAATGACAATTCCTGCTCCCCTGTTGATGGGGATACCGAGCTGGCTCTCTCTGACTTCTCGCTGGGAAAGAATGGGATGTATTTGCCCAGGTAGGTGGCCACGTGCCTGCGGAAGAAGTGGCAGAGGTGCTTCCGGAACCTCTCCCCCACGAAGGCGTAGATGATGGGGTTGACGCAGCAGTGCGTGTAGGCGATCACCTCCGTCACCTGCATGGCCACGTCCAGCTGTTTGCTCTGCTCACAGCTGGTTTCAAAGAAGATCGTTTGAAAAGCCGTGAGGAAGAGGACCAGGTTGTAGGGTGTCCAGAAAATGAAAAAGACCACCATGATGACAAAAATGAGCCGGATGGCCTTGTACTTTTTCTTACTGGGGCATCTCAGCAGGGTTTTAATAATTCCAGAGTAGCAGACAACCATGATGAGCAGAGGCAGAGTGAGACCCAGGATATTCATTCTCAGAGCATGGAAACGCTTCCATCTGTCTTCTTGGTTTTTTGGGTAAATAGGCAAGCAGACAAACTGTTGGACGTCTTCTTGGGACTCATGGAAGATAAATTCAGGGAGGGCTGCTAGCCCCGCCAGGCCCCAGGTGAGAACACTCATGATGACACCAAAAGTGACAGTCCGGGCTCGAAGGGCAAACACGGCATGGACGATGGCCAGGTACCGGTCTATGGTCAGCAGGCTGATGAAAAAGATCTCACTGTATAAGCCCATGTAATAAAGCCCGGAGAGGAGCTTACACATGGAAGAGCCAAAAACCCATTCATTCCACCCAGCATAGTGAATCCAGAACACCAGGGTGAATAGAAAGAGCAAGTCAGAAATGGCCAAATTGAGCAGGAAGATGTTGGTCATAATCCAGAGCCTCTTGTATTTCATGAGGATCACCACCACCACCACATTGCCCAGCAGACCAACCACAAACACCAGGGAATACAGCGGGGGCAAGAATTGGGCTCCCAGCTGCTGGATGTTGACTTTTATACATGGCAGTGAATACTCATAGTCGAACTCTGTGGTCTCAACAGACTCATCCATGGTCTTCATCACGGCCGTGAAGGCCTCCATTATTTTGTCCCTGTGATAGAAAAACAACAAACACCAACCACACAATTAGGCACAATCACTCTTGGTGAGCCACACCCATTGATTTATCCTTTTACCCACAAAACCGCATGTGATTCAACAGCCTAGACGTTTAAAGTTTCTTCAGCATGTATTTCAAAGGTTATGTCGGAGATGCTGGGGTGGAGAGAGGAGTCAGGGACAAAAGATGTGAAGTTTTGAAAGCGCAGTTCACGATGGGAAAAGAAACAGAGATGTGACGGATGGTGGTGAAGAATGGGGATGTTGGTTTCTGCAAGCATTTGAAGGAGGAAGTACAAGGCAGGAAGAGCAGGCTGGGGAATGAGAACAATAGTATTATGCTGATCATTATTGCTGTATCTTTCCAGGCATTTTGAATTTTATGTTTTATAGTTTATATATGACTTTCAAAATCAGCTTCCCTATTTAAAAACCAAATGCTTATAATAATAATAATAGTGATCGTTATTATTACAAATAACTTCCCCTCTCTGTGGCCCCTTAACGAGGTTCTGTTCATCATAGCTGATGGGGAAACTGGACCTTGGAGAAATTTAGTAATTGACCCCAAACCCTCTAACAAGTAGATATAAAAGTTCAGGCTAGGTCTTCAGTATCTATGAACAACTTTTTTTCTCAGTAGATTCTAATGCAGTGATTTTCAAGTTTAACTTTTGAAGACTTCACCATCATAATTATCATTAACTAGTGTGACACTTACAGTTCTAAGCTGCTGCCCTTTACCGGCTCCTGATAATGTTGAGATAAGCCAGCCCTGTGCCAACAGCAAGCCCCTTGGAGTTCTTACTTCATAAAGGGACTGGGGGGAGGGATAGGCCAATGGAATTTCTTCGCAGATTTGGTATTTTTTAAACTAGGACCCCTAGGGCCAGTGGCTGCTTTTCTTAAGAATACAGGCTTCACTGGAAAAGAAGGAGTTCCACGGAGGACAGTGAATCCCGGCACTGTTTCCTTGGAAGAAGTCCTACTGACTTTCTCCTTTCTCTGAGGAAGGGACAAGTGTGAAGACATGCATATAGGTCAATGGGCATTTCTCAAGGTAAGTCTTAGTAAAGCAATTGTTGGAGCCAATGGTAAGACATTATCTTTGATTCTTAATAGAATACTGGGATCCCAGTGGTCAGCACCTGTCAGGGTCTTGTGTAGTCAGAGAATGGATGTGGGCTGGAGCCATTCCCAGCCATTCTTCTCACCAGCTGTAGGACTTGGGCAAGAACTTAGCTTTGAGCCTTGTTTACTCATCCCCAAATGAGGATCATGAGACCACTTGAAGTTATGTTCAGGATCAAATGAGATTTAAAAAAAAAACAAAACTTTAAAACTGGTAGGAAGTGGGACTGAAAGATAAAGCAACGAGAAGCCATTTCATATAAAATTAGAGAGGAAGCTGGGTCTCTTGGATAGAACTTGGTCTATTTCCGTGACTCTGCCCTAGTACATCCCACTGAACAATAACACATCTAGGCCTTTGAGGTGGAAGATGGGACTGAAAACAACTGATTTGTATGATCTTATCAGCATTTTAATTCCTAATGGCATAATTCACAGTCGCTGAGAAAAAAAAATGCCTATTATTTTGTCTGTTACATATTCACAATCACAGAAAACATCCCTCTCTAAATTTTAGTGGTTAAAGCAAAAAAAAAAAAAAAAAAAAGAAAGAAAGAAAGAAAGAAAAAGAACAGAGCTGCTTGCTCCAGAGAGCAAAAGTATAGTAGCCTCCACTTAATTATTCCATTATCTTTCCTTTTATCTGAGATGGATCCAAAAACAAGTCAAAGTAAAAAAAAAAAAAAAAATCACTAAGGTTTTGTTCGACTTGATGATCATGTCTTTAATTCATGTGTCACTTTCAACATGACCATGATAAAATTATAGAATCTTTTTGGGGACTCTAGAGTGCAACACACAGGGAAACATGCAGGTTCTCTGGCGTCAGAAGCCAAGTCCTTGACTACTAGTTACATGGGTCCAAGATATGAAAACTGAAATGGTTTTCGGTCCAAATCAAAATGAATATTTCAGTCTGCAATAGTCAAGAGGTTTGAATTAGGCTCTTAAAAATGTCTTTTTGCATTTTGGAAATATGGTACAATAAGAGAAAGCAGACAAACAGGCAAACCAATAATAAAGAAAGGCAAAAAACCTAAAAGTAAAAACCACCCCAAATTCCCCCATGCAGTTTACCACTAGTAATGTTTCTCTACAGATATGCATACATGGATACAAGTTTTACCAAGAAAATGAGTTCACACTCTTTTAGCTGGTCCACTAAAATTGCTCACAGTACAACTCAGCTGTACCACACAATGAAGTTCCTTTAGTCTCCAAAACAATTTAGATCTTACCAACTTTCCCCTGGGAAGCAGGAAAAAGGATTCACAAATTTTAGTCCAAAGTTGTTTAATCTTAGCCTGACCCATTCATTTGCAGGATGACTTTAGTTTTGCTCATCCTCTTTACGTTCCCAGCTTCTTAATTTGGGTTTCTTATCTTCTCTCATTGGTCCTTTTTTTTTTTTAAATAATTTTCTTCTTTATTGATTTTTTAAATATTTTATTTATTTTACCTCACAGAAAGACACAGAGAGAGAGGGAACACAAGCAGGGGGAGTGAGAGAGGGAGAAGCAGGCTTCCCGCCGAGCAGGGAGCCCGACGCAGGGCTCGATCCCAGGACCCTGGGACCATGACCCGAGCCAAAGGCAGACGCCCAACGACTGAGCCACCCAGGCGCCCCCTCATTGGTCCTTTCTAAGATGGTAGTGGAGATATGAGGGAGGGACTGGCATGGGCAGAGGAGGAAGAGGGTCTCCTATTGGTCCTATTTATGTGGCTGGTGTCTGCTGAGGAAGGACGACGCAGTCCCAACCCTGAACTTTTGGCTAGCGTCTGTTGCTTTGTAGCTAACAGCCTCATGATCAACTCATTCTTAGTCGTGCCTGGGCATAGTGACCTCTCCAGCTCTGGCTGGAATGGAGGACCCTCTCTGTTCCTGCCACATCATCAGGCTTAGGGCCCAGGCTAAGCATCTTCTCCAGAACTGGCAGGCACCTAGACAGACATACTGCTCCTTGACTCCGTGTCCACGCCAGGTACAAACTAAGGGAACTTCAAGGGTACAAACTAAATTATTTTTCTGCCTGACCACCAGCTTAACTATGCTGGCCATCCATGAGAATAAGGAAGTGACTTGCAGAGAGACATCCTCTCGGAGGGGCCCCCTCAGTCTATCAAACAGCCCTTCACACCCCCCAACTCTGGTCAAAGCCTGGGTGGGGAAGATAGGAACCTATATGCATGACTCCTTCCTTCTGTGACCTCTGGCTCTTCTCTCACAATTCCTGGAGTCAGAAGGAGAGGAGCCCACCCCCTTCCCCCCAAATCTTCAATTTTTACTGTGTAATATGTAATGGATACCTCTCCATGGGGAAAAAGCAGAGTTCTACATTCACCAATTTAAAATTTTAATGAATGTTGCAAGGCTGAATTGAGAATAAACATCTAGAATTAGAAATAATTCTCTCTCTCTTTTTAAAGATTTTATTTATTTATTTGAGAGAGAGAACGAGCAGAGAGGAGGGGCAGAGGGAGAGAGAGAGAGAGGCAGACTCCCTGCTGATCAGGAAGCCCGACATGGGGCTCGATTCCAGGACCCTGAGATCATGACCTGAGCTGAAACCCAGAGTCCGACCCTTAGCTGACTGAGCCACCCAGGCACCCCTAGAGATGCTTCTTTAGAAAACAGATTGAAGTTTGGAATGCCATTGTAATCATCAAAAAAAAAAAAAAAAAAAAAGTAAATGATGCCCCCCCCAGTGCTGGTGAGGTTGGAGTGACCCCGAAGCAATTATGCATTCCTGATGCAACATAACTTGGTTCCGTAAGTTTAGGAAATCTCGTACAGAACAAGAACCAATAAGATACACATGGCTTTGATCCAGGGGTTCTAGAGCAGAGGAATTTACCCAAAGGGGAAGAAATCCACCAAACCAAAACAGGATGTTTATTGTGGCCTCATTTTCATGATGGAAAGAAACAACAAAAGGGCAACAGCTTAAATGTTTGACAAGTGAAGGAGACTTTGGATAAATTGCAGCCCACTTACGACAATAGATTATTATGTAGTCATTAATAAAACTAGTTTTGGAGGGGTGCCTGGGTGGCTCAGTCAGTTAAGCGTCTGCCTTCGGCTCAGGTCCTGATCCCAGGGTCCTGGAATGGAGCCCCATGTCAGGCTCTCTGCTCAGCGGGGAGTCTGCTTCTCCCTCCATCTGCCTCTCCCCACTGCTCGTGCTCTCTCACGTGCGTGCTCACTCTCTCTCTCTCAAATAAATAAAATATTAAAAAAAAAAAAGCTAGTTTTGGAGGGGCACCTGGGTGGCTCAGTCCATTAAGCTTAAGTGGCAGACTCTTGATTTCAGCTCAGGTCATGATTTTAGGGTCCTGAGATTGAGCCCAGTGTTGAGCTCCGTGCTAGGTGTGGAGTCTGCTTAAAATTCCCTCTCTTCCTCTCCCTCTGCTCCACTTTCTCCCTCTCTAAGAAAAAAAAGGGGGGGCAAATAATGAAAACAGTTGTAGAAAGGAAGTGGATGATCATGTTTAAAGTTGCAAGATACGGAATTTTTAAATATTTGCTTAGCCATTAAACTGTAATGAAAAGCCAGTGCCTTCTAGCAGGTACTGCTGGAGATTTGGCAAACACGTTTTCTAAAGGTAACTGGGTTGAAAACGTGGGCAAATTGCAAGCTGAAGAGTTTAGTCATCAGAACCTGAAACCGCAAACTGAGATCTAAGAAACTCAGAGTGGAAGTCACACTGGGTAGAACATTTATTTGAATTTTGTTTTAAAGATCTTAATGTTTGGTTCTCGTCGATCCCGAGTGGAGTTAACGTGAAACCACCAGACTGGGGGAGGGGAGATTTCTCTTAAAAATTTCTCTTTAGGTCTTGAGACCTGAACTGGCCAGCCTCCACGGAACAGTGAGAAGCCCTTCAGATGACCTGGCGCGCACCTGCATGTGGATATGTGGGCTGTGTAGACACTGGCTCCCAGAATGTTTCCAAATTATCTGGTGTGTGACACTGTCACCCCCACACTTTCCTTCTTCTTACTCTGTGAGTCTCAGTGCTTTTGGCAGATGCTGAAGTTGGAGGATAACCACGGGGCCCTGCTCTTCTCTTGCTGCCCCAGACATTCAACCTATGTGACTGGACTCTGCGTTTAGATGTCCCTGAGTAAACATGGGTTTACAATAATTCACACCTCTTTGCCTTTGAAGAAGTGGAGACTACTTCCCTGCACCCTTGAACACCTCCCCAGATGCAAGCTGGAGCTTCTCCTAATGAGTCAACTCAGAGACGCTTGTTAAACTCCAAAGACATCCCAAACAAAACCAGTGAGCTGTGACCCCAATTCCTTCATCTCGAGCACCAGCCCACACAGTGCCTCTGAATGGAAGAAATACTCATTTTCAGCCTGGATCAAATAATGCATGATACGGACAAACTCTTTGATGCATTTTTTTTCCTTATTGTCGACAACCACCTGCGAAGGTACAAAATAGTGGGAAGAAAATGGTCTCTGAGTTCAGGAAGTTTACTTTCTTTACACATAACCGATGTGAGATAAGAGTCAATGATAATTGAGTCTTCCTTAGGCCAAGCACCTTGCGTATGTTTGCTTGATCTCACAACTTTGCAAGGTAGGTTTGTATATCCCCGGATTTTATAGATGAGCAGACAGAGGCTTGGCAAGGCTCGGTCACTCACCTGAGGCTATTCTGTGCATGGCAGAGCTGAGACTTGAGCCTGTGTCCTTTTGCCCTAAAGCCCACACTGTCATTGCCTTGGGGTTCCATTTAGTGAGGACCTCCACACCCCAAGATTGCATGAATGTTTATATATAGTCTGGTATTGTGTGGTTCAATATTTCCTACATATAAATCTCTAATCCATTTTTTAAAGATTTTATTTATTTATTTGACAGAGACAGCGAAAGAGGGAACACAAGCAGGGGGAGTGGGAGAGGGAGAAGCAGGCTCTCTGCTGAGCAGGGAGCCCGATGCGGGGCTCGATCCCGGGACCCTGGGATCATGACCTGAGCCGAAGGCAGACGCTTAACCGACTGAGCCACCCAGGCGCCCCTCTAACCCACTTTTAATTGAGTTTGATCGATGGCACGAAAGGCATTTCCATTTTCCTTCTCTATAAATGGGTGAATAACCACCGTGTCCTCCTCAGGCTCAAAACATCACCTTTGTTATATATTTAATATTCCTGATTCTGTTTGTGTACTTTACATTCCACTCCTCTGATCTCTGATTTTGGTGCCAGAAACACTCTTTTCATTATTTGGATGTATTAGGTCTTTTATGTAGATCGTCTGATTATGCGGCTCTCTTTCATTATTTCATTTCCTAATGTGTCTTGTCTGTTAGAGCTTCCTGTCCTATTAGATAAACCTTAGGATCATTTGGTTAATTACTTATAAAGATATAATTTTGAGTGGAATTGTATTACATTTATAAATAAATTTAGGAAGAATTGGTAACTTTACAATATCAAGTTTTTGTACCTGGGAACATGATATGTGTACTTACTGTACTCACTACAGTTCTTTTAGTTATCAGTCTTGCACATTTCTTATTGTTTTTATCTGTCTGGTTTCGATTTTTTACTGAGGTTACTACAACTGAGATAGTATTTTCCCTAATGAGTTTTCTAATCAATGGTTAATATGTAGGAAGGAAAATTACTTTTTTTTTAAAAAAGCTTATCACCTTACTGATTTTTAAAAATAATTTCCTTTAGGACTTTTAGATAGATAATCACATTAGCTGTGAAACAGGGCTGACATTAATTATAACCTCCCTGTTCATATTCCTCCTTTGTTTTTCTCATCTTGTTGCTTTGGATGAAATTTACACAATGATGTAAAGTAACAGTGGTTCCTGATTTTAATGGGACATGATTCCCCCCCCCAAATCTTTCAAAGACCCTGAAGCACAGACTAATTAACAGCCCCTTCACTGTCCTCTAAGATGGTCTAATGTTGATCAAAGCTCTTAAGAATTTCAGTAAGGCTCTCCAAGAGTGGATGGCAATTTAAAAACTCAATCATTGGACATAAGCCTGAAAAAAAAAGTAAAAACAGGAGGCTTTCTGAATACTTGGGGTCTTTAGGGGATGAGAAAATTAACATTTCTTTTGAATTATACCTGTTTAATATTTTTCCCAGAAACTTATTTCATATGATTTACTTATCACGGCAGCTGTGGGAGGTAGATGTTTTTATTCTTCTTATTTTATGGCTGAAAAAAAAAAACTGAGTTCAGGGAAAAGAAAAACTGAGCTCAGAGCAATTCCATAACTTACAATCACACAGAGAGCAAATGGCTAAGTTGGGACTTAAGCCCAGGTGTTCCGGACGCAAAGAAACCTAGGCTCTCTACAGCCACAGCGGCCTGTCAGCACCCACCCACTGGGCGGGGACCTTCGGTGTGACAGTGAACACCTTTCTCAGTTTTGGCATCACTTCCTCACTGTGGACGTTTACTGTATGTGGAAGTCATGACCCCCCAAGTCTCCCCGCCGTCCCACATCCCTGTAGCATCGATGCTGCAGCCTGGGGTCTGTCTATGGCAGCCAAAGACAGAGATACTCTGAGCTGATCGTTGGCAATATTTCTCAGGCTTGTCTGATGCTTTTAGAAGTAAATGTCAACAAGCTCTAGTCAGGTGGGTGAAAAAAGATACTGCTAATTGAAGATCCATTTTATAACAAAACTCCGCTAGTTGCAATCCGTTATGCTGCTAATGGAGAGTACCGATCCTTGAGAGTAGGGGGAGCTTGGTTAAAACCAGGCATGTCTGATAGAAAGCCACAGGCCGAATGATACCCCAGTTTAGTGAAGTCACTAATCTGGATTGTGCGTGCGTGTGTATGTGTGAGTGCTTTGTCTCTTTGAGGGGATCAGCCTCTCAGGGGAACTTGATAAATCATCCAAAGAATATAGAGAAGAGAGCAGATGTAAAGTCACTGCCTGCCCATCCGGAAGAGCCCTGCCCACAGGTGACTCCTAGTAGTGATCATTCCTGCAAGAACCACGTGGTGTTAAGATCAAGCCCTGTGCCCAAGACCCTAGATACTCTTGACTTCATTGGTATTGGTGCCGAGGGGATCCGTAACTATAAGATTTCCTTTCTTGTGTACCCCTTGTCCTCCTCAGTGTAGGATAATGATTCATTACTGTGTCTGAGGAAATGACTGTGTGACCTAGAACAAGCAACCCCTCCGTGCCTCAGAATTCTTATGTGCAACGTGGTGATGAGAAGAGTTACTGCTTCATGGGGCTCCTCAGCCCTTCATATTAGCACCTGTGATAGGCAAGGGGACACAGGAAACGTCAGGGAACAGAACAGACCAAACTTCCTGACTTCATGGAACTTATTTTCTAGTTGGGGACACAGAGAATAAACAACTAAAAACTACAGGGTCTCAGATGGCCGTGAGCGCTACAGAGAGATAAAGTAGGAGATGGGGAAAGGGAATAAGGTGGGGTTGGAGGTGGGCACTTTTCAATTGGAAGGGGGTCAGTAAGGAGCCCACTGAGGTGACATTTGAGAAAAGACTTGGGGGACGTGAGAGAATGAATTGGAGAGGTCTCTGGGGGATGAGAGAGCCCCAGGCAGAGAAATAGCAAGTACAAATGTCCTGAGATGGCAGAGTGCCTGGATATGTTCTTAGAAGAGCAAGAAGCCCAGTTGGCCAGAGTAGTGAGGGGTGAGTATCCAGAGAAAGTGTCAGAGAGATGTGGGTGAGGGGTGGGCAGGGGTTCAGTGTAGCTGTGCAGCCACTGAAGAATTTTGGCTTTTCTCTGAATGGGGTGGGGACCAATGGAGAGTTTCCATTAAAGGTGTGACATGATCCAATTTATATTTTATAAACACTGCTCTGGCTGGAGTGGAGAATAGACTATGGACAATAGTCTAGGGAGGAGAATAGACTATGGAATTAAGTTTGGAAACAGGGGACCAGTAAGGAGCTTGCCATGATAATCTAGGCAAGATGTGACGCTAGATTGGACATGGTAATAGGAGTAGAAAGGCAAGAAGTAGACAGATACAGCATAAATGCAGAAGGTAGCACCAAAGGATGTGTTGACAGATTGGATGTGAGTGAGAAATGGTCAAGGCTTAGAGGCTCCAAGAGTCTTGACCTGCACAACTGGAAGGATGGAGTTGCCATCAGCTGGGATGAAGGCTGGGGCATGTCAAGTCCGAGATGCCTGTGTGCCATCCAAGCAGAAATGTCTAGCAAGTAGGCAGATGATATATGGCTCCAGGGGAGAGCTCTTGGCTAAAGATCTAAAGTTGACAGTTGTTGTCGTATAGATGGTGTTTAAAGTCACGAAGTGCGTGTGGATAGTAAAGGGTGTCTTTCTCAGGTATATCAAAAATCAGAGGTCAGAGGAACAAGGAGGACACAGCAAGAGAGTCTCAGAAGGAGTGGACAGTAGGAGAAAAACCAAAAGAACTGGTGTCTCAGAAACCAAGCAAAGAAGGTGTCAAGGAGGGAAGGGTGGTGTGAGGATAACATGAACTAACACATGCGAGAGCATCTAGAACAGAGACAGGCAAGTGTATGTCAGTTCTTCTCCCACCCCCACCCATTGACCTTCTGTATCTTTCAAGTTCTCAGGCCTTTCCAAAATTTCTTAGGTTCTTGTCCAAGGTAATATAATATGACTTCAGAGGAACAAGTGTCTCTTCCACCTAAACAGAAATGCTTGTCTTTCCACAAATATCTCATCGGTAGCCCATTACCCAAGGTCCTAGGAAACCTACAAAGATTTGGCATCCGATAATTTGTTTTAACCAGGCTTTTCAGCCTTCATTAAAATTTTTAGTTACTCTAAATGAGGAGTTCGAATTTTTACAAGCAAGTTTGGATCTCAACCAAAATAAAGAACCTAATGGGAACTCCGAATTATATTAATCCATTTACTCACTGACATGTCCGATGGAAAGATAATCAGAGGTCAGATTATCTTTCACGAAGATGACAGGTAGTGATAGGCAGAGATAGATAGATAATAGATAGATGGATGAATTCGCAGAAAACTGAGGACAACCAGGAATCAGGGGGAGTTCTACTGGGCACTTCATTCTGACCACCTCAGGATGCTGAGAAATGATCACTTCCCGTAATCTGCATACAACACTTCCATTAACTTAATCTATACTTATATGAAAGAAATTGTTTTCTTCACAAGAATAACATTTTTATTTCAAATTACATGCTATTTATGATTGAGTAGGTAATACACACAATCAAAGGGTTCAAAACATAATACTCAGAGAAGATACACAGTAAAAAGTCTCATCCCACTTCATCCCTGTACATCTCTTCCATGTCAAGAACTGTGAAGGGTCTAAGATCTTACCCTATCTGCAAGCTAACAAGCAAGACTGCCACTTTTTCACAGATACCAGAGGAAGGCACATGACAATTAGATAAGGACAAAGGACTTATAATGGCACAGCAGGCATGTGGCTGGATGTCCTCATTGGTTCTCCATGCTGCCAAGTTGCAGGGGGGCCATGTGGAGTGGGCCACTGCACACAGCAGGCTTGCCTCACAGCGGAGGAATCTGAGTGTAGGAACCCCCAATCTTTTACATTGGGTTGACCACAAGCCCGCCCACTCTTTGCCTGGGAGGGAAACATTTCCATATGCAACTATAATCGAATATAAATATATTTTCTAATCTTACCCTGTTGGTTGCATAAAAACAGAACATTACATTCATCATCATGCACCTTGCTTTATCCACCTCACAACATAAGCTTTTCTTATTCTTTGTTACTGCTGTCGAGAATCCATTGTGTGGATAGACCAGTTTATTTAGCTAATCCTCTATAAACAGATACTCTTTGTTATTTCAAATAATCCTGCAATTCATGATCTTACACAGGAAGTTTTTTAAAAAAAAGAAAACCCAAGGGCACCTGAGTGGTGCTGTAGGTTAAGCGTCCAACTCTTGGTTTCAGCTCAGGTCGTGATTTCAGCGTTAATGAGCCCTGTGTCGGGCTCCACACTCATCTCAGGGTCTGCTTGAGATTCTCTCTCCCTCTCCCTCTGCCTCTCCCACTTGTGCTTTCTCTCTCTCTCTAAAATAAATAAATAAATCTTTAAAAAATACATAAAAATTTAAAAACCCCATTCCATGCTATCTTTATGGTCAACTAGAATTACAGGTTAGCACGTGATGGGATTTTCAAGTGGTCTGAGACTACATCCAGAGCACTGTGCTAGGTCCCAGTCAAGACATTTAATGTGAACGTTGCCTGACTGAAATGTAGGGGAGAGGAAACCCTACCCAATAAAGATAAGTTGAAGGAGCCAGAGGTGTCCATCCACCCAAGAGAAAAGACACTGCAGGTAGGAAAGAGAGCAAGATACTGGTGTGTAGATGAGAATCAGAATGTGATTCACATCAGTGCCCTCCAGAACCCACAAGAGGTCATTCCAAGAGGCAAGTTCAAACACTACATAAGAAAGAGCTTGAACAGGATTACCCAAAATGAAATGGGTGCCTTGTGAGGTGCTAAGCAAACTGTGCCTGGAGGCATCCAAGCAGAAGCTGGGTGGCTGCCTGGTAGGGATATTGCAGAAGGAGATTTCCACGGTGAGAAGAAGTTTGACTCCAGTGGCGGTTATCAGCCAGGACCGCACATGGGAACCATGGGGGAGGTTTTGAAATCCCAATGCTAGGCTGTACCCCTGAGCAGTTAAATCAGAATTTCTGGAGGTGGGATCCAGGCCACAGTGATTCTTAAAGCTCCCCCACTCTTGGATGAAGTGACATGAAGTCTCTCCTAGATTTTATGAATCTGTTTTCTGTCTCTGAGTTACATACCCTCCAAACTCCTTAAGCTTCGGGGAGAAGAACAGGGGGAATTTAGGGCTAGACTAAAGATTGTCAACACTGTGACACAGCAAGCTAATTCAGTTTTAGTCTGTATTA